GTGTGTGTGTGTGTGTGTGTGTGTGTCTGCGCGCGGGTGTGTGTGTGTGTGTGTGTGTGTGTGTGTGCACGTGTGCCGGGGGGAGGGGAGGGAGGACCCCTCCCCCACCAATCAATCAATCAATAAATTAATCAATCAATCAATCAACCAATCAGTCAATCAATCAAACAATCAATCAATCAGTCAATCAATCAATAATTAAAAAAACAATCAGTCAATGATTTTTTTTTATTTTTATTTTTATTTTTTATTTTTTTGTCACTCACCCAAAACCACCCCCCCAAATTTTCAATTTTTTTTTTTTTTTTTCGTACAGAGTGGTAGTGGCCGACGTGCGCAGTTTTTCCGTGCATGCCCCCGCCTGGCCCTGCCTGGCCCTGTCGCGGCTGCGCGCCGTTTTTCCGTGCATGCCCCCGCCTGGCCCTGTCGCGGCTGCGCGTAAACTCGGCCGCGCGGCCGAGGGGGACACATAGCTTGGGTGGGAGTCCCACTAGCAAAGTGGATAGGATTAAACTGTGGAATCTGGATGTGTTATGTGTAGAGATGCAGAAATGCAGTTCAATATCGATTTTCTGCACCTCTCCACAAAAACTTCCAGATTCATGCGTTCAATCCAATCCTCTTTGGTAGTGTGACCTCCCCTCTTGTTATTGACAAAACAGGTCAAGACTGAGGGACTCAAATCCTGCTGCAAGAAATAACTGGGCTTGATCCACCTCCAGGTCGGTAGCGTGTGTTCATATATGAGTCCGGACTCCGTAGACTATTCTGGTCGCTTTCGAGGGGGATGATAAACTTCGGGCATACTTGCACAAGCACTTTTCTGCGTCTATCTGGCTGCAATTACGGCCGCTGGTGACCTGCAAGGGCCAGGGGTACGGTGAAAAGATGGCGAGTACCGGTAAGGGCTACCTGTAACTTATGTCTAAGCCCTGAACGGCGATCCACTGAAGGGTCTCTCTCTCTCTCTCTCTCTCTCTCTCTCTCTCTCTCTCTCTCTCTCTCTCTCTCTCTCTGTGAGTGAGTGTGTGACGTGCACGCACGTGCCATACAGCCCAAATGGCATAAGCCAGTAGAGGGAGTTTCTTTCTCCATCTGTTCACTTGTTTACGAGGGTCTGGGAGCCACACGTGTCAGAATGCAAGCCTCTTTCAGACTCTTGTCACGGTCTCGTTGGTGTTTCCAGAAGTGTAAGGCCATACTCACAGTAGGACTTATCCCGATGTATCTGACCAATATGACGACCAGGTGCGGATGCATCTGACCCCGATTAAATTCGGGAATAACTTCAAGTTTGAAAAATCCTAGTGTGAGTATGCCCTAAGTGTCGGGCTTCTCCACTCTTACCAAGGAGTGCGTTGTAGTCGTTTATGACTCAGTCTGATCACAAGAGCAGTGGGTCCCTCCTGATAGTGCGTGCCAGGGAGAGAGATGCTTTGCTTCATATGATCGACAGACTCGAGAGTCGAGACAAGGAAGATTTGCTGTCGAGACTACCGTCTTCACCCGAATAGAACGCCCGGTTGTTATAGCTGTATCTGGACTGAAACCTGCACCACATACGGCTATAATGACCGGGCGTTCTATTCGGTTGAAGACGGTAGGAAGATTTCAATCTGTCGATGTCGAACACTTGGTATTCGAATCAGGGGGTGGCACAGCTCGGCATATTCACAATGTTCACTTTCTTGAATGAAATCCAAGTCTTGTGGTTGGTAGCAAGTGCTGCCATCTTTCGCTGAACACAATGCAATCTTATTATGTCCGTACCGTACCAGAAGTATGGATATGTACATTCTTTATCAGGGTGTGTTGTGTCCGCGTTCTCCGTACCAGAAGTATGGATATGTACATTCTTTATCAGGGTGTGTTGTGTTCGCGAGAACGCGGTAGTGCGAGTATGGGTCTCGCTCCACTACTGTCCACTATACACAATTTTCGTATAGTTGCCGTATAGCTGTCAGAGCGTGGAAAAACGTATGAAACCCGGCGTCGCTCCACTAACTATCTGCTATACAAGTCTTCAATTCCCGAGTTCACTACAAAAGACCCTAACAGCACTACAAGACAGCAATTTGTTGGTCCCTACTTCAGGTGCACCATACGAAAATTCACGGTAGAACGCCAACCTCCATTGACCACCCTCCGAGTAATGACACGACTTTTGCAGGCTGGGAACTATTCCGGATTGTATGGTGAATCTCAGCTGGAGGGCGCCATCTCTCAACCACACGGTGATTTCCGAAGGTACATTTCAGATGGCGCCCTCCAGAGTGCCGTAAGTGGAGCGGTGTCCCACTTTTCCTTTTTTTTTTCCTCCCAACTACAAGGGTGGTATAGGGTCTCGCTCCACTACTATCTGCTGTGCGATTTCGGATAGTGGGACACCGCTCCACTTATGATTTCGGATAGTAAGTGGAGCGGTGTCCTACTATCCGAAATCGTACAGCAGATAGTAGTGGAGCGAGACCCTATACCACCCTTTGGCGTAAGTACCGTTCTCAGTTCGTTAGTCCCAGTCCTCCTTTTCCTCTCTCTCTCTCTCAAAATACGATTTCAATTGTCAACGACACCTATCTGTGGCTTATAACGCGGACGTTGAGTAAGCCGACAGATGTGCGTTTTCTCATTTTCTTTCGTTTTTTCCCGTGTCCCTCTCCCCCATTGTGCTTCCCCCTTTTTTGTGTTTCATAATATATATTCTCCTTGTCGTTTGTGACTCACACCCGGCGTTGGATGCATCGATTTGTGCAGATGTCCCCTCCTTTGCGAGGATCTGGCCATACCATGCGATATACTCATGGCCCATCTTTCCGAAGAATGCAAGCTGGGGCAACATCATCATCGCTCACTGGTAAACTGGGAATGTCGTCATCCAGCATCTGCGCCCCATGCAAGGTACGCAGCTTAATCAATAAAGCAAATAGACTGGGATTCAAAAAAAAAAAGAAAAAAAAAGGATGAGATATGCTGGGGATTGCATCATTGCAGGGCTAATGCAGGGTTTCCTCGCCCCTGACCTTGTAGTTGCCTCCTTTCTACGAACATTGCTTATTCAGAAACTATCAAGAGTATCACAAACTGGACCGATGATTTTGCACAGCTATTGACCATACCGTCCAAGCGCTAGCGATCAACGACAGTAGTTGTCGTTGAGCGATAGAGCTCGGACGGTATGGTCAATAACTGTGGAAAATTATCGGTATGTTCATGTTAGTGTCGATATCTCACTCGGCAGGTAGACCATCTCAGAATCGGGTATATCTATACGAGTCGTTAAAACTCCAACGAAACAGTTTGTCCTCTTCTCCCTCTGTGTCTACGGTTTAGTGGGCAGTTCTGTTTAACGATATATTATTTACACACACAGACACACACGCACACACACACACACACACACACACACACACACACAGAGAGAGAGAGAGAGAGAGAGAGAGAGAGAGAGAGAGGCTATCAACGACAATTGCTGTTGCTCATTTTGGTATCCATATCTCAGTCGTTAGGTAGAGCATCTCAGAATCAGGTCCAACGAGAGAGAGAGAGAGAGAGGCTGTCAACGACAATTGCTGTTGCTCATTTTAGTATCCATATCTCAGTCGGCAGCAGAGATGAGCATTTTGTTTTTGAAATGCCACTTCACCCAACCCACCCAAAATTTTCTTAGTACATGCAACCCTTAAAAAAAAAAAAAAAAAAACGGTTTGAAGCTGATCCAACCCACCCAAGCACTTCTTCGAATTTTTCCGCCCATGCCCAACCCACCTGCCACCCGTAAAAAAGGTTCACCCAGACCCACCCGCACCCGCAAGAAAATCATTGCCCGCCCGCACCCGG